CTGGGGTAGAGTTAATTTTCTTCACAGTGGCTAGTATGGGGCTATGTTTTGGATTTGTGCTGAAAACAGTGTTGATAATACAGGGATGCTCTTGTTATCGCTGAGCAGTGCTTACAGAGTCAAGACCTTTTCTGCTTCTCACCCCACCCCACCAGCGAGTAGGCTGGGGGTGCACAAGAAGCTGGGAGGGGGCACAGCCAGGACAGCTGACCCAGACTGACCAAAGGGCTAGTCCATACCATATAACGTCATGCTCAGCATATAAAGCTGGGGGAAGAAGGAAGAGGGGGACATCGGGAGTGATGGCGGTTGTCTTCCCAAGTAACTGTTATGCATGATGGAGCCCTGCTTTTGTTTCTTTGTTTCATGAAGACATCTCTCAAAAGAACTCCATTCTGAATGCAGCTCATTAATGTGTGCTCCCCGCCCCCTGCCTTTGCAAGCCTTCTCCAACTGCCTAAACGTGGTGACTGGAGCTTTTTGGATTAATTTTCCTTAAGTGACCTACTTTGCAGAGAAAGATAATCATGCATTTATAGCCTCTGGCACTCTATTCAGGTCACAGATGGACAGATAGCAAAGCTATTCCTCAGTGATTGACTGGGGTTGTAACTAATCCCCAATGAGAAAGGAGCTTGGCCTGATGTTAATTGGTCAGAATGCCTAAAAGTATGGAAGATCATTGACTCCTACTTTAATTTTCAGAGGGTGTTACAGTTAGGCTGGCTGATACCAGCCAGCAGTTGTTCTAGAAGGGTTTTGTGGTAGTGATCAAATTACTGGATGCCATAGATGTTAAATATCTGAGTTTGAATCCTTTGCCTTGACAGTGGAGCACCATGTTGTGTTCTAACTGTGGATATGTCTGACGTTACACACATACCAGATATCGTGGCCAGCACCAAGGATCAGAGATTCAGGAGAGTTCTGACCTTTTGCTTGCTAACAAATGCTTATGATCCCGTGAACAGTTGTCATTGTAAAGACAATTTTTTGTGCAATCAGACCTAAACCTCTGTTATGAAAGAATTTTTTTGTATAGCATGATCAGTTGAGCCAATAAAACCCATATTTTGCTGTTATCCATTAGAGGCCCATTCTCCTTGTATTTGGCACTAATGTAGTGATGTATGCAAAACAGCTTGTTCTCTTATATTCAGATGTTCAGACGTTTCACAAGGGAAATAACCAGGATTTATTCTCTGTTAGGATATGTTTAAAAGTTTGATGGAGCTTTTCACACTGAGAAAGAGGCAACAAGCAGGAGTGTTAAGGATGTCTCGTTTTTTGAAGGACCGTCTTGAAACTTTGAGCGTGCCAGGCAGTCAGTGAAGTTAATTCTGACAGGTCTGAAGAAATAACTGTTAAAATTGTGACACTGCCAGCAAAGGGATGGATGGCTTTCAGAACAGAACAAAACACGTATACAGGTTGAATTCTTGCACCACAGGACTGCAAACGTGTATGCCTGTGTCCCCCAATGTATACATACAGCTTTGCACTTTGCACTGCAGTGCAAAATCGAAAGGTGTTCTGGTAGAAGTTGCATTGTAGTTTGGATCACTTTGATCACTGAGTAAGCGTTCTTATTTCATGTGCCTCCTAGAGCAAATAATCTCCAAACACGTGAGGAATGATTTAGGCTTGGTTTAGATATTTAAATCGGTTAAGACAACCTGACAGAGCTCTGTGTGTATTTCCTATGACAGAATCTAATGCATCGAGGGCAAAATCAATTCCTTTTACCAAAAAGCCTTTCAAACAGGAAATAAGTAAAAGGTTTTAGAAAGAGTATGTGCAGCCTTTCTGTACCTATCCTGAGGGACTGTAGTGCAGCTCTTCCGCCATCAAAATTGTGGCTATGGGCTCTAGCAGTTGTTGGGAGCCCTTTGAATTTTCCACACGTGTCCTTCAGCTGCTGGATCTGTGTGTTCCCTCTCCCAGGTGTTAACCCCAGCATCTTCTCTTCCAAGGGATAAATCTCATTGTGCCTGAACTGCATGTTTCTCAGTGTTTCCTCTGGAAGTGTTGATAAATTTGAACCAATGTAGCTCTACAGATATAGGCATCAATGCAGATATTCTTAGTCTAGTTTAAGAACAGCCTGCTGTAGGTGTGCTTTTATTTCGTCCTGAAATAATTAATCTAAATTGAAATAAATCCAATTTTAACCAAAATAATCCACAATGCATAATTTCATTTACTTTTTTTTTTCTTTGTTAGTTTGTCAGGAAAATATTTGAAAAAAGTAAGACAGCACTGCCAGGACTGGTTATGGGCTGTTTTAATCAAATGGCAATTTTATGAAACAAAAAATTGACATCTTTGGTTCTGTGTTTCCTGGTATGATATCCATCATGTGGTTTTGTTTCTGTCAGAGAATGTGGAGTTTTGTAAAAAGAAACGGGATAAGTCTAAATAGTTGGGAAGTCATTATGTATTATCAGATACAAAACTAGATTAATTTAAGTAATAGGTTTCTATTTTATGGAGCCATAGTACAATCTATAGAAGATACAGTAAAAATTATTTGTAGAAAAAAATAGTATATGCTACAAACAAATAACATCTGCAATACAATAGACATGTTCAAGCCTGCCATGTAGATCTCTTAGGGATAAAAGGTATGGCTGAGAAATAATACTGGTGCATTCCTATTGAAAACAACCAATTTAAAAATAACTGGTTCCAAAGAAACCACCTAGCTTTTGAACCAGGGTAGCGATAGCAGTAATAGAAAATACATGCTTCATATTTAATGCTGACTTCCAGTATACAAGCAATAACTTAAGAGCTCCTGGCTGTTTTCTTGGCAGGGTGTTGAGGGCACTGGGCAAAGATGAAGGTGAAACACGCCACGAATCCGCCTTGCGTTATTACTCGGCACTACTAGGGAGTCTGTCTTCTGGGTTCTTCGTGGCTTAGAAGTTTACCTTGTATCATTGTGGGTGTACAAATTATTACACTGAAAAAAAAAAAAATCCATTCACTTCCCTGTTTGCATATTAAATTAGGATACTAAGTGATCAAACAGTTCTCATCATGTAACTGTCCCGGATACAAAGCTTTTAATCTGCTGTGTAAGATCAATATAAAATCTTGTGTGTATATTTCTTATGTGGGGAAAGATGAGTAGTAAGGCACATTTTGTAAACATGTATAGGTGTCATACACACACAATTTGCTGCTAGTTCTGCCATTGCAGGACTACTAAATAGAACTACTCACTTGCATGAAATGGCTGGAATGAATATTTGTTTGCCAGATCAGAACATCAAGGAGGAGTTATGAATATGATAATGAACTAGATTTTTTTTAGCATATTTTTTACAGAATTTGTTGATCTGTTGTGCTACTGTAAGTGAAAAGTAAATCTGATTAGAGAAACAGAAGAGTAGACATTGTTACAGAAATTTGTTCTCATCATCTTTCATATGAGTCAGTGTTCCCTGATGAAGTAGGATTATCATTATTTTAGTTTAGTCATTTAAGATTTAAAATTTCCAGTGGTGAACTTCTAATTAGTTGAATAGATCATGAAATGCTAGAGCAATTTGAAAGCACCTGTACTCCTCTTCTGAAGGAACTTGTATTCCTGTTTAAGGGGATGAAGCAGTGTATGTGGAAGGAAATGCTGGAGCGTGGAAGAATCAGACATCATGTTTTAGTGAAATGGTAGATGTGATCTGAATTGGTAATGAATGTTCCTTGGTGGCTTGTTGATTCTGAACACCTAAGGAGCATTTGTAGGAGTCATAATGTTTTTAAAATATGCTTTGGTGGGATGGGCTGTGCATATGCATGAAATGGAAGAAGGAAACTCAGTGGACAAAACGATGGCGGAATGTTTCATTGTTCGTATGTACAAAGTTCAAATAAGCCTATAAATTTACATGCAAAATAGTAGTAATTGATAATTAAATTAAGGATATTAAAATGTATTTATTATAATAAGTAATTAGATTATATTAATTCCTCATAATTCATCACAAACCTATATACAAAATCATTTTGGCCACGGTTACAGATCTTTGGTTTTCAATGATGCCTTTAATAATAAGCCAATTAGACAAAATGAATTATTTTCTGTATGTGTTTTCCATGTAGGTGTGCACCTCATATGCTGTTATCATTATACAAGTAGCCATTAATGTGCTATGTGCATACTAATACATTCACCTGATGTGTCTGAGATGTTTTTCCCTTGCATACTGAGTGCAAAGATACGGTCTGTGGATGATGGCAAACTAATTACCTGTGAAAATTAAAGCCCTGTGTTTGCTCAGAGAATAACTAAACTGTAGGCAAGGATTGTTCCTCCATAGGCTACTTCAGTCCCCAACATTGGCTGCCTCTTTGCAAGAAAGCAATAATATCTCTATGATCCTTGATCTCCAGTCTCTTTGCTGATATTATTGAGGAAAGGCATATTCATAGTATTATGGTGTTGAAATTCAAGATCCTTGAGTTTGCAAGAAGAAATTAAATATGGTATTTAATAAAGAAAGTATATTTCAGGGATAGAAGGCTTGCATTAAGACAACTAAGCTGTAGTTCCAAAGCTCTACATTAGCTTTCTTTACTCAAGTTGGTGACGAATCTTTATCTGCAATATATTTTGTAAAGTAGTAGATTAAAAAAGCACTTTCACTCAATACTTATATATTAAAATAGTGACTAATCTTATACATATTCTAGAATTACACTGTTGCTTTTGGGAAACTGATATGGATTTTATCATCCTTAACATTCTCTTAAGAAAAAAAATACCCTGTTGAACTGGGACGGTAGACGGGTTTTTCCAATAGTGATACTTCTCTATTTTCTGAATTTATAGTTGATGATTTGAGCATTTGGATTCTCATTTGGACATTCAGTCATAGGATTTTAGCATAATTCTGTTTTTCCTGAGTATTTGGAAAATAATTATAAGACATTTTAAGGGGAAAAAAAAAGAAAGAGATCTGGGGGCTCTGACCATTCTCATTCTGTCTGTGCAGTTCGACAATCAGCAAGCATTGGGAGGCAGAACTGGCGACGCTCAAGGGAAATAACGCTAAGCTCACAGCAGCCCTGCTGGAGTCCACTGCCAACGTAAAACAATGGAAACAACAACTTGCTGCCTATCAGGAGGAAGCAGAACGTCTTCATAAGCGGGTAAGTCGAGGCAAACAGCCAGGATCCTTGAGGTGGAAGTACTGGTGACTGTATTAGCTCATTTTCAAGTAAAACAAGTAAGTTTATTTTTGGGGCTTTAGGTTAATCTTTGAGACAGAAATGAATGATTACTTTAAAGCACACAGGGTTCCTCCATTGGGAAAATCTTTCCTTGGTAGCAGTTCTTTTTCTGCAAAGGGTATTGTTGCAGGAAGAGTTATCTAACCTTTTGACATGTTTGCCAGCTTTCACTCTTCATTTGATGCCGTCACATCTGTTTCAGGACCTTCTCCATAGCATTACACTTCAGTCCCTCTTGCATTTATGCCCACAGAAACTCGACATCAAATCTGTAAGTTAAAGAAACCCTATTGTAGTTTCCACATATAACAAAGACGAACAGCTTCCTCTCATCCTTGCACCTAGAGAAAACTGAACATAGATTGAAGATCATTATATGCAATTAGAGATCTGCTCCCACTTTCATGCAGCAGGGGCTGGGTCCTGTTCCCTTCATTGTAAATTTTGCAGAGGTCATTTGGCAAACCAGAAATCAGTGCACAGTGGGGGAAGGAGTGACAGTGTTTGAGGGAGGAATAAAGCATGCAAGTCTGAAGCCTGCATTATTAAAACAAGTATACAATATTTTAATTTCTCTTCTCTTTTCACATGTAACTCTTTACATATTGCATAATCTATTCACCTTTATCCATATGAATTTGTCATCATAGCTTAGGACACATTTTTGCGCCAAGTGAAGGCAAGATTAGCACATGTATGGAGGGAAGATGTCTTTGACGAAGCTGTATTGCTTTTGTTAATATCAGTTAACTTAGAAAAATATCAAGGAGATGTACTTAGTTAAGAAAGTAAAAACAAACAAAAGCATTGCTTTTTTGCATGAAAACTAGTTTTGTGAATATGATGACAAGAAGGGAAAGGTCAAGTAGCAGACATGGCAGACCTTTTAATTTGGTTTTGAATGCTGTACTCATCTGTATGAAATAAGGTATGGCAACTACAGGTAGCCAAATCCTGCAAATTGCAAAAGGTTCTTTCAGACCTGAATTGGACCTGTCCAACTGGAGGCTTAGTAGACCCAAGAGCAAGGCTCATATTCATCTGACGGGAGAGAAATTCAGCAGACTACTTCTAACCTGGGGATGTGGAAGAGTAGCAAGAATTCCCTTGAGCTTGAGAAACCTGGGGAAATGGCAGGTTGTTGGGGCTGTCCTATACCTAGACTGACTTGCAGACAAGGATCCTGAAGTCCCAGCCGAATGATTTGGTAGGGAAGAATGACAGTTTCCGATAGACTGTAACTGTGTGTGCCATAGCTGGCTGGATGAAATACATAAAGCGTAATTAAAACTGGTGGTTTTTGCCAAGTGCTTTCAGTTCAAGAAATTGGCAGTTGCTGATAAAACTGCTTTGCTTCAGAAATTTTCCAGTCAGGCACAAGCTTTTCATGTGTGTCTGTACAGAGGGAGACTTTCGCTTTGTCTGTCATCTCATTTAAGCTTCTCCTTTGGAAGGGTGGAAGTTCTAACCTGTGCTCCAGGTTTGTGAATAGATGATAATAGTCATTGTTGATATCTCATGTAGAATATAGGAACGCTCTGTGCCTATGTCTCTCTTGGCATGCCTGTAAATTATGACAGGATAGTTCGTCAAGAGCGCTGCCCTCTGTGGGAATTGCCTTCAGAAAAATACAGACTTGGCTAACCCAATAAATTGAACTCTCTAGGCAAAAGTATGCGGAACGTGAAAAAAAAGCAATCTCAATCTGTTACCCATACGGTGCAATACAAGAGCTCTTCTAACCTGCATGCTGGAGACTGATCTTTCAAACTGAAATAGTGCCCCATTTCAGAAAGAAATTGCAAGTCAGATACTTCTCTCTTAGACAGATCAAAAATGCGCTGTTGAAATGGCAGATCTGGAGACTGTTGGTTGTGGTACACGTGCTAGCAGTGTTAAGTCACTGTATTGTGTTATCTTCCTGTTTGGTTCATCTGTTAAGCTCAGTATAAACACATAGCTGCAGCTGATCCAAAAAATGTTCCTCAAACTGGAATCCATCTCACCTGAGATTATGTAGAAGTTATATATCATGTCTAAGATGGTCATCTTTTTTTCTTGTAATTCTTGGAGAGACAAAAGCATGAAGGGTAAGTGTCCCAGTCTTAAGAAAACTAAGGAGTTAAGTTAAATTTGCTTCTGTAAGTGCTTGTCTTTCTCCATAGGATAATCATCTGGATATACTTTTAGTAAGATGAAATTAACTCCATCCTTAGTTCATAGAATCACAGAATAATTTATCTTGCAGGGGAACTTTGGAGGGTATCTGGTCCAATTCTCCACTGAAAGCAGGGCCAGCTTTGAAGTTAGATCCAGTTCCAGGGCTGGATCAGGTTACTCAGGGCTGTGAATCAAGTCTCAAAAAGCTGAGATCCCACAGCCTCTCTGGGCAGCCTGTTCCAATATTTGACCACCCTTGTCAAATTATTTTTCCTAATATTTTATCTAATTGAAATTTGTCGTGCTGCAACCTACATCTGTTGCCAGTTCAGAAGAAAAATAGGGTTTGATCCAAAACAAACTTTGGTGAGAAAAGTTGAATAGACCAGACTTTTAGAAATACTCATAGGAAAATTGATTTAAAGGAGAAAGCAAAATTCGGAAATTAGTTTGCATGTTCAGTTGTAATGTAATTGGTTTTTTATACAGAAAAGTTGGCTGTCACAGCATCTTGCCCACTGGAGAAGAAGAATATGTGTAGATATGTATGCATTGGAGGGATATGCTCACTCACAAGATCATAGTCTTGTAAAATAGACCATCCTCCAAAATGAAGAATGTCACTGCTGACATTAGCTGCTATATTTAGTTCAGTTTAATAGTATATTATGTGGTTTATATATAATATAATTGTGGTATTCTCTCCCTACATGCTTTATGTTTATATATAAGTTTTGGTGCCCGAGTCATCTGTCTACAAGCTACAGCAGACTCATATCCTCTGTCAACTGGGGCTGGGGGGGAAGTAATGCATATTGATTAGCAAACTTTGCATTATTATTTCCATCTTTAGTTTCTTCTTTATATAAATAGCCTTATAAATAGCCTTATTTATATAAATAGTTTCCTCTTTATATTAAAAAAAAATATTGCTAATACTGTCTTATTAATTGACTTCTTATGGTACCTTTTTCCGCAGTCTGAACTTAGTCATGTTTTATTTATAAACATTCTTTGATTTTACATTATATTTCATTCTTTTATCTTCTATTTTTTTCATTCACTGTGGTAAACTGAGTCTTTCGTCTCATGCAGTATTTGTTCTAAACTTTGCTTTTTAAGTTGTTTTCAATTATTTTAAGCCCAACATTTTTTGTTCTTTAATTGTTTTCAAAGCTGACTGAAATAGTTTTTCTGTGTATCACATTGTTTACACATTTAAAATACAGAAACAAAACTAAAATGCCCCTTTCTTTGATTTTGAATGCATTTTGTAAAATTAATTTCATTTATTTTTTGCCATTTCTGATTAAGTATAAGATTTAGTCATCTATCAGTTCAGTTTTTCCTATTAACCTACATTTATTTGCTTTCTCTGAGGCCTTTATCTTCTTTCTTCCATTTCTTCTCTGCATTAATAATGCCTAGAGCTGAGACAAAACAGAATACAGATTCAGTGTGGCTGAGTGCAAAGTTCTCAATAAATTAAAGTTTTGTACTCTCTTCTGATACATTGTGAGCTTAAGCCAGAAATACTGTACTTTGATATTTTGTCAGACATTGTATTTTTCAGAAGTTTGCTAAATGAGCCTATGGATTTTTCCGTCTCAAATACAAAGAGATAATAACTCTGGGAAGATGTGATGCCCAGTCAAGAGCTTAGCTTAGAGCTCTCAGCCTTCTCTCCTCTGATCTGCTCAGAAGCAGCTTAACAACAAGGTTTTCCCTTAAACAGGGTTGGGGAGCACTCCTACGTATGTTGCATAGCTTTTTGAAGTCAAAAGGGATTCATGAGTTTAGAACAGCTCAGTAACAGAAAGAAAAAACCCTGAGGTGAGCTACTTCAGACAAATAGAATACCATTGGTACTAACATTAATCCTGATACCACAAGAAGGAAAGGATTGAATGGTGATATGAATTATGGAAAGTAACCCAAAGTTCTGTCTTTGTCATGTTAAAAATTAAGATGATGATTTTTTTTCTTGCATGCTAACTGTGAAAGTAGATCATCCTATGACACTGGGCCATAGCACAGAGTAATAACACCAGTGCATAATAGTAAGAGCTGCAGTCCTTGAAGATCATTCATCTGCAGGAAAAGAAACCTAAGATAAAAAGAGATGAAGGGAAGTGATAAAGCTCTTGGGTATTCCTGAAAGAACAGAGGGGTAAACTCTTGAATTCTAGCTTGTTATTTTACCAGGATTTCCTAGGAAATAAGATAAAATTAGCCTATTATGTTCTGGTTCTTTTATTCAATGAATGAAATAAGTACGAGGACATCTTCTGTAGTCATCAAAACCACCTAATGAATAATGGACCCTGATTTCACTACTGTTAAAAGGAATTTTAAAACGGATATTGAAAAAATGCATAAGCATACAGAAACAAAACCATGGTCATTTTATTGGGCTATTTCTGTGCTACTTAAAGAAAACAACAATCTATAAAAGCAGTTATTAAAGTCTGCAAGAAATATGGGATACTGTATAAGCCATCTGCTCAGATTATCTATAGAAAATCTTTCCAGACCCTTTAGCAGTCACCTCCACGTTTCCACCAGCTGCATTAATAACTGAATAACCAAAACTAAATTTTGAACATGCAGATGTGATGAAGTTGCTTACTGAATCAGAGCCCATATTGTGGACTTCATACTTGCTGAGAAGTCTTACTAGCACCACTGTAGGACTACCTACTGTTTCATGTTATGTGGCCAAGGAAGGACATGATCTAAAAGCGGAAATATGAAAGAAG